TTGTTGGTTGCACTCATGTTAAGAAGAAGGTTTTAGGCTCCTCAATTTTGAGACTTAACTTTATTGTCTTACTAGCTTTACTTAGAACTCTATTCTTCTTACTCTTGGCTCTTTCCATAAGAAATCTCATACATGCATGGTATGCCTACATCTTCAAATTCAGAATACAGACTCACAAGTATATCTCCAACCCAGATCTTTTTTTTTTTGATACTCACATCCAAATAGCCAGCTTCCAGCTCTACATTTCTACTAGAATGCCCTAAAAATTCTACCCTTAAACTCAGCATGGTGTAAACCAGATTTATGGTCTTATATGCTGAGCCTGTCTTTTTCTAGTATCCCATCTCAATGTCCCATCTCACTTCAGTGTAGCATCTCATTTTGATTGAATCTGGCTTCTAACATGTTGAAGAAATTTTGAAATGTATTTCTACTTTTAAAAATATTAATCAGGTCCATAACATTAAATTCTGAGTATATTAATATTTTTCCTAATATCACCCCAATTTTTATGTACATATACCTATTATTAATGAGTTTATATAAAAGTCCTATAAAAACTTTATGTAGTTTAGATAGATTTCTGCTATTGTTCACTATCATCTATTTGAATCAAACTATGTCATAGAAATAAATTGCTAGCCCATATTACAGATTAACCAAGAAGTACTGATTACAAATATCACCCCATTTTTCAGGGATTATAAATTTATTATTTTGTCATTTGTTCAATTAGCTATTTTTAAAATAAATAGAAACTGGCGAATTTTCAATTTCAGGTGATTGCTTTCCTTTTAAAAATAAAATCTGCAAATTTAAAAAATATCAGCTATTTTTCTTTGTTCATTATATGCATTGCAATATATTTTCTCAATGTGTGGCTAATCTTCTTCTGGATTTACTCTCTTTGTGTCTTAAGAAATCCTACCTTAACTAAAAGCTATATATATATTCTCCTCTATTTTCCTGAATGTTTAAAGTTTGTCTTCTATCATCAAGTCCTGAAGATGTCTTAAATTTCTTTCTACACAAATATGAGAGTGGAATTTAAAATTTTTCCTATGTGAGAAGCATGTGTGGTTTTCCATTTATTTTCTCAATGATACATCTGTTATCTAATGTACTTTCCTACAGGTAGGACTTCATTTCTGGGCTCACTATTATGTTATCTCAGTGTGCATTCCCACACCTGGGCTATTTTCATATTGTTTTAATTAAAGCACTTGTATAAAAAATAACTGTGTTTCGTCAGGCAAGTCCACCTTGTTATTTTTCAAAAAAATATATTCTCACTTTTGTCCTTTCAAATTTCAAAGACATTTAAGAAGACTTTTCTCTGAAAATACTGTTGATTTTTTTTACATGAATCTATACATTACTTTAGAGGTAAATGATAACTTCCAGATAGGAAAAGAAAATATTGCTTCACTTATTCAGGCCTTTAAAACTGGATTTCAAAAATATTTTCATTATTTTTTACGTAAAAGTGTCATCAATATTTAGATACTTTTGTTCTTTGTAACAGAGTTTGTTTCCATTGTGAATAGGGTACCCTGAACTAATAAATTTTTGAATTATTCATCACTTATGTTTAGGAATGTTAAACATTAATTTTCATAGGATGATCTTGTATCCAGAAGTTATGCTAATTTCTCTTATTCATACTAATATTTTGTTTGTGGGTAATGACTATCTTATCCCTGCTGCTTCAGGTCCTAAATGAGGGGCTGAGTTTATTTTCTCCATTTTCCTGGGTCTGCATTTTCTTATTCTGTAGCCCTAGAGAACTATTTACAGCCACGATTTTTTCACTTTTCTTTTCTTGAGTGGGGGCTCCACTTCAGTACCTGGTTAATTGCAGTGAGACTTGCATAAAATCCCTGCTTATTCCAATGAACATTATTGCTTTAATCACACAGAAACACAACTCCAGGTCAGCAATTCTGTTTAAGGATCCAGAGCCCAGCACCCATACAGCTTCATTCTAGCTTACTACCTTGTTTTCGCTCTGTTTTTCAAAACCAGTTAAATGTTTCCCTCTTGATGGCACATGGTTACGTCTTTTTAAATTTATCCATCTATATTTTATCTTTCATTTTAAGTACTGAAGATGACAAAAGCCTTCAAATCTTGAACACATGCTTCCATTTTCCTAGAAAATTAGAGTTAAAAAGCCAGAGTTCTTGTCTGCAATACATGATTACTGAATCAGAATCTCTCTTCATGAGCCCTGAACAACATTTTTATTTTAATTCAGTAGAAGAGTTTAGTGCATAACCAGATATAACAGCATAAATTAGAACATGGTTCTACCTTTACTCAAGAAGAATATGTTGTGACTATTTAAATGCTGTATGATTAATACACAATAGATTAATTTCGCATTTAATTGTGCATGATATTGTCATATTATGTCTGATGCTCCTTTAATGAAACCGTTTAAGGAGCTCTGTAATTGCTAAGAAGGGTTAAAACTTTAACTTAAAAAACATTCTTTTAAAGTTAATTCCTGTTAGTAAAGATTTATTTGAGATGTGACTGTTCTAATATGTGTGAGATGGTACTGATCCCCTTTAATGAAAGACAGCCTAAAGAGACAACACCTCTTACAGGTGAAAGTCAAAGTCACTTTGCATGATATGATCCCATTTTGCTGATAAAATGTTCAAGAGTGGTCATTCACATTCAGCATCACAGGTCTGAGTTTTGGCTGGTTGTTTGCAACAAAAAAGAAGAAGAAATTCAATGCATAAAATTTTAAAGCACCATTAATAGTTTGGCAAATATCTAAGAGAGATCATTGTCACTCTAAATGGGAAAAATAAAAATGACCTATTAAAATCCTGACAGTAATTTAAGGGCTCAATTTCTAAAATAATAATAATAATGCAATGAGATTTAAAATAATTATTCTGGTGATTACATTTAATTCACTTTTTGTACAAATCATTGTCTACTCCTAGTCCTCCCTAAAAATTAGGAAGAAAATGGTGTAATGAAGTAAAACTTCAGTATTAGTGAGATGAGGTTTTAACTAATATATCTTCTTCAATATGATATATGTTGCCCCGTGTCCATCGCTAATATCTCTAACAATGAATTGGCTGGTGCTAGATCCAACCACCTAGTGTGGGATTATGGAAAGAACATGTTTGGAAGAGTAGAGGAAGAAGATCCTTGAGTAGATATTTCCAGAAATCAGAAACTAAAATGACTAAAAACTAAACTTTTAAAATAAAAACGTAGACATATATAATATTCCTGTCTGCACATTTAAAAATACTTCCACCTTATATTGGTAAAAGAAATATTGCATCATTGTGTGATTAAATTACCTAATGGTATTTAATAATTTCAACTTACATTGTTATGTAATGTCCAAGTCAACCAACAGTAAGATAATGTTAAAGAAACCTAGAATTTATTTAAGATGAATGAACATTTAGATAAGTCCAGGATGTTTTTCTTAACTTTCTCAATTAATATAAACTTTGAATACCAAAATGTAGCACTATATATCTGCCTGTTAGACATTTAAGATAACATATATGAATCCTCTTGCAAGACAAAATATACTAATTTGCATATTATGCCAAAGTAACAAAATAGTGTATACCAATAAAGTAACTGCCATAATAGCTGATGAAAACAAAGTTTTAGTTACAATAACATATTTCTAAAACAAGGCATAAGTGCCATGTTAAAATATTAAAAACCATCTTGCTTTTAATATTTTTTTAATTAGGTATGTATGGAGCTGAGAAAAAAATCATGTGCTTTTACATTTCATTAAATAACAATTGCCTTTAATTTAAAATTAATTGCAAAATTAGGAAAGTATGACTTAAGGGTACAGTTTTATACATTGCTACACTCACTAATGGGGGATCTCCATGCATCCTTTGTTTCTCTGACTGATCGTTCTGTCAGCTTTCTTCTCCTGCTGATCTCCATACCACTCCCAACCCCAATCCATGTTTATGTAAGCTCACCAGAAATCCTCTTAGCAATAAATAATCCCAGTAAGATGAAAATTTTACCACTAAGTCCCTCTACTAAGTCTGGTCAATATTTTACACAGATCTTCTCTTCAGAGTAAATGGGGAAACAGCTCTTGTTCTAACATTCACAATAGTAAGTATATTACATGGTTTTTATAATTTCAGTGACTCGTTGATATAGACACAATGGAAAATTTTTTTAGTGTTCACTGACACTAAGAAATATTAGACAACTCTGAGCACAATGCCATGCCCACAGAATATACTTGGATTAGTTAGAAATTAAATGTATTACATTGGATTTGGCAAGTTTATTTGTGTTTTAGGGGATGTAATTTGATGTATGGCATGTCAGAATCCATCTGACTTCAAGCCTATCACAATGGAAAGGCTGGAGATGCAACATGGCACATTAGAAAAGGCACAGTGCTTGATTTAGGAGATTGAAGTTCTAATGCTGTCTCCACTGCAAACTATAATAACTTTGAAAAAGCTCTTGACTATTCAGGTTTCATTTGTCTGTTAGACAGGAGGATTGGACTACAGTTTCCAAGTTCCTCCTAACTCTACAATTTCTTTATGATTCTATTATCTGTGAACTTACAGAATCACAAGATTTCACTGAGAAATTTTTACTATTTCATTTTCTCTTAAATCTTTGGTTTCCATGGCTATTCCTAAGATTCCCCTTTGGATATCTATAAAATGTAGATTCCACCATTTCACTACAGACCCATGGATCATAATAGCATCTGACTTTTTAAAGTTTTTACAGTATTTCTGACACAGCTATGCTTTCATTTTTTGTTTCACAGTACAATTTAGAATTCAATGATGAAATACAAATCTTTTTCCTTTTACTTAAAAACATATGAAGGCAAATTAAAGCTATGGCTTTGAAAGCCTGAAAATGAAATGATTTATTACTTTCTTGCAAATAATTGAATATCTAAAGAGTGGGTCAATGTGGCTTCACATTTCATTGTATTATATTACCTTCTTCCTTTAGGGAAGCTGGAATCTTCTCTCCTTTCCCTTTAATAGGTTCTGAAAAAAAAAGTTGGACATTTATTTGAAGCTAAGACAAAGAGATTTTCAGATACCCATATAATGAAGTCAGTGAGCTATCAGTAAGCTGAAAGTAAGTGGAAATTTTCTAATGCACTTTAAAAATGATTTTACTCATATAGGGACAACAAAACAGTATAGAATACAACAAGCCATAATCTGATCATTTTTCTTTAGCACAGGCATAATTTGTTCAACAGGTTATAATCTACTTGTTCATTTAAGAGAACAAGCATTTGGATGGAGAGGAACTTATTTATCTGTAATTTTTAAAAAATCACATGACTTCAGCATCCAGAAGTATTCAAAAACTGTTTAATCAGCACTAAATCAGTTTATCTCTTTTAGGCCACATTTTTGTGAAAAAAAAATAATAAATTAACAACTTTGCATATATCATGCATGTAGTGGTGTTTTACTCTTCAGAATCAAGTTAACTTCAAGAATGAGATTAAAATAAAATTTGAAAGACAATTTCACCTATGAGACTATTTCATCTATAAACTTTTAAAGCCTTCAAAATGAAGGCCTTGGTTGAAGTAACTCAAATAAAACTTTACTTATTCTACCAGCTTCCATACACATCTTCAATGTGATTCAGACCATATCATGGGCTCCAGACATATATATGGGCAATGTCTTGAACATCATTATATTCAACAGCCTAATAAAAAATAAATCATAAACACATTTTATGCTCCCTTTGCAACATTAAAGCTCAATATATATTTTATGAATGAAATAACTTTTAATGCAATTATAAGGGAAATAAAGAGATATGTCATTTCAGCCCTTTTTTCTATTCCCTCCATATGATTTGGGTGAAAATACAGAGAATATGATGGTGGTGCTTGTAAATGGAGATGCCACTCTAGCAATCACTAAGAATTAACTGAGACCAGATAGTTTGGGATGTATTAAGAATTAATTTTGAGGTTTTATTAAAAGAACTGTATCTTTCAATGCAAAATTTTCTTGTGGGGTAAACTATAGCTTTAGATATCCATTAACATGTAGAATTTTTTTTTAAATGGCTTTGGTGGCAAATAAATGTCATGTTGCTATTTACAGTGCTGTGTTTAAATAGGGCTAGTTTTTCTATACTTCAGCACATGAAGATGAAATCAAGAGCCATGAATTGAACAAACACACTGGGAAGCTTCATTAATTCTTTTTCAAGCTGATGGCGGTAATTTACTGTTCTTGCACTTTCTGGCTAAGCCAAAAGAATTAATGTGTTGTGAAATGAGAAGGGGTGATGGAAACAGACTCCCAGCGGGGTGGGAGAGTGCAATGCTTTGAGCCTCAGAATTCAAGATTCAGCATGCTGATCTAAATGGGTGAGTGTGTATGTTTGTGTGAGGTTTTTAGTAGTTATAAAATTCAGGACCTATGGTGAGAGCCCACAGAACTACATTGATTTTAGTGGAGAGAGAAGGAAAGGGTGGAATAACAGATACAGTTTTATAGGACATTCAAAGACAGTAAACCTATTACCTTAAGCTTTGAAGAGTGATCTCAGAAAATAAAAGTGATTTCTATTTCCAAGTTTGCTATGGCAAGATGCCTTCTGTTCCTGGACTGAGGCATCACTTGCACTGACTTTCCTACAGATCATTTATTCTCAGCATCCGTTTTGTCCTCAGGGGCTTTTGTTGCAATTTAGGAAGTCCACAGATGCCTCTGAGCAATCTCTAACTACTCAAGGAAGTGAGTGGGATATTAAATCTGACTAAAAAGTGAAGAGAGGATTACATGGAAACCCTGCACTTCTGCATTAGGAAGGAGAGATACATCAGTGGTTTGAGTCAACTCTTAAGCCACTTTTTTGACAAACTATCTTGTTTGTCAAAAGCAGCATATTAGAAAATATTGTTTAAAATATGGTAGTTTCTTTGTGTTTGTCCAAGAGCCTATAGGAAGATTTATAGCTCTTGATGATCGGGTCCGATAAAGTCTTTAACGGTGCTGGGAGATAAAGTGGAAGGAACTCTGTCACAATTATTACAGCAAGAGGATTGTGATGGAAAAATAATTCACTAAGGAATAGAAAAATGGTTTCATATTAGCCACTGCCTAACACTACCCCCAGAGACAAAGGCAGTAATGATGAACTGGGTGAGTATCCATGATGAAGTACAGCATGTTGTGGAGCAGTTTCAAAGTCCTCAGACAACTTACCCCAACCTAGTTCTAGCTTTAAATTGTTGAGTGGAAACAGCCAAGAAAAACATGGTGAGGACAAATAGAAGTTGGGGGATCATCAGTTGCTTGGTTCTGAGCATCAGGACATAAAAGAACATAAGTTCTGTTGAGACTCCTCTGCCATTATATCCAAACATACACAGACCTGGAGCACACAACTAGTCAGCAATTCTGATATCCACTAAATTATTCCAATAACAGAGAAACCTAAAAGTGCTATTATTGCGTTCTTAGAGGAGAAGAAATTACTTGATTACTGTGTTGCCTGTTTGGATTCAGTTGCAGTTTCTCAGTCCAGAGGCAAATCTTCCATCCTCAGATAAGTCAGACCAGCAGTTAGAAACAAGTTGTCTGGGATAAGGACGAATGCCACAAGGAAGATAATATCAGGGGTCACTAACAGGATTTTCTGTTTTCTGAATGGTCAAGACCTCATAAGCAGGACAATGCCCCTGTGGGTGTGTTGAAAATGCTTAAGTGAGTCCACTGGTCCAGGAAAGTCAATAACTGAACCAGCAACAAAAGTTAGCGAGACACATATTTCTCCTGCTTTTTTTTTTTTTTTTTTTTTTTTTTTTTTTTTACAACAACCATCCCTAGAACTCTCTATATATTCTTATATAAAGACAAAAGCCTAATAATGTATCTCTGAATGCCTAATTTACTCATGGTTATCACTACTCTGGTAAACGTGGCTCCAAATGAGTTCCTTGTAATAATGCTGGTTTTAAACTTGTAGCATTACTTTAAAATGAATGTGGATATACACATGCACGTGAAATGTATGAGTAACAGGCAAATGTGGGCAATTTCTTTGTGGTTTAATAGACGTAACTCACAAAATACAACTCTAATAAAATAGGTAAATTTTTAGCAAGTGAAATTGTTGCATTTGGATTCTGCCAAAGCTTAGCAGCAGGCTTCAAATAACCTCTCCAAAAATAATAACACTGCAGAGGATTTTGAAGTCCCTAAAATCTTACAGGTAATATTATAATTATTTCTTTGATTCTTAATAATGAATTATATTCAGAAAAAACAATAAAATTATTCTATAACAGTATTCAAATTATATATAACAAAGACATTTTGAGGGCTTTAATGCAGTTTGAATTAAGAAGTAGATATAGTTTATATCATCCTAAATCAATAATCATATGCTGCAAGCCTTTATATACATAATTTTCTAGTGATTGAAATTTTTAGAGAAAAGAGTAGATGCTTCTACATTGAGCAAAAGTTTTCAGTAAGGAATTTCAAGTGTATATTAATAACAATATTAGAAATTACAAGAACCTATTTAATGAAGCGGTCAGTATGGGTTTATTTCCCCCAGATAATGCTTTCCAGGACAGTTTTTAACAATTATTCTTCCAACTAGTTTAAGCTTTGGCACATGTGAAGATTTTAAGTAATAGTTAAGTTTTGATAATTGTCATTGCCCAAAGTATAACTTGTGGGTTAAGCCCCTACCTTTCTTTTGAGCTGCTTTCTTAATGAATCATAAATGTGGTCCAGATATTCCTGTGAAATAAGTGCAGACTAAAATAAAGACATTAATGTCCCCTAAATGTCTTCTATATGATGGAATAAGAAAATGTTTAGATTTACATGTTGTAAATTGCAAATTGTATATGTATATTTTTTTCCTGGCAGTATATTTTCATTACACTTTTGGTTTTCACATAATCAAGGATGCTGTTTTTATTGATTTTCATATTACATGAGAGTGGAGGCTGGAAATGGAACTGTCCCAAAAATACAAGTAATCACTAAAGAAAAATAGATGAAGCCCCTCTGTGGGAATTAAGTGGAGTTACCCCAATAGCAAAAGAACTAAGACTATTTTTCCATTCCAATGCATCTATGCCAAATAGATTTTTTTTTTTTTTAGTAAACTCTACATTCAGAGCAAAGGTGCTTTTATAAATACAAATATAGGAATCCTATTCTTAGGTGCAAGCAGTGTCAGTGTTAAAATGAAAAGATGAACTTTAAATCGGGGGAGACATGACTTTGACACTTACCTTTCCCTATTATCCATTGTGTGACACTGAGTAACTTATATTGCTAGACCTCAGGTTCCTTGTTCATAAAAATTGAGCTAGTAAGCATATTTTGCTGAAACAAATACGTAAAGCAGGTATCAAGGAGCCTGGCAAAGAGTGCATGTGCCACTTCTGGACTTCCTCCAAGCAATTCCCACACCTTTACAGGCTAACTCTTCATCTTCTCCTTTATGTTTCATATTATTTCTTTAGGACAAAACTTCCTGGTCTCCCAAACTTGATCAGGATCTACTATTACACCCTCTGATAGCATCCTATAACTCTTATTTATGTTATTATAATTTTAGTTATGTCATGAATACTGTAACTTCTCAGAGAGTATAGGCTATGCCTTTCTTGCATCCCATGTGTCTAGTGAGTATCTGAATTAATTACTGCATATTAGATACATAATAAATAATTACTGAATGTAGTACCGATCAATCCACATAAAAAATTAAGGTGAATAATATCAGATCTTGAAGTTTAAATAGGTGAATTTTAGTTTATTATATATACATATGTAGCACTCAAATGTATATATAATAAATTATACATTATAGTACATAGATAACATACATATTTGTACTATAGAATAAATTATAAATATTTCAAGTGTGTTAATTCAAAGAGAGGGGCCTCACTGAAGGCTGAAATAGAGAAGCCTTGATGCTTTACATGGCCATTATTCTTAGAATCAGGTTAAGGATTTACACAGGTAAACAGGAAAGGCAGTTGGTCCATCCAGGAGATGGAAGTCATAAAATTTAATTAAGAATTTCATGCTTTTTCATAGCAATATAGAGTGTGACAAGACTGAAGCAGACAGAATACGCCTAAGAGCCTTTAAAAATATCAGAATGTATACTCTAATTACCAAGTCTTACTCTCTATTTGTAGCTTTACCATTTTTGTTGTCATCATCATCTTCAGTGTTTACCAAGTGCATGGGATGTATTATGCACTAAATATATATTTCATGAATAGAAAGGAGAGAATCAGAGACTATGGGGGCAAGTGCTTCTTAATATTCTTCACTTCCATTCTATAATTTTTACCTTTTACATTTTTAAGGAAAATCTTTTTAAAAAATTTTTCTTTCTTTTCTTTTTGGGAGCTGTAATCAGAGCACTTCCTAGGTAATCGTGAGAAGAAATAATTTTAGGAACAGATAAATAAATGCAAGTTTTTAAATATATGAATGTGACCGCTACAGTTCTGGTTTATATATTTGCAAAGGGGATGCTGCTAATGTACTATGTTCTCCATCATATATATTTCCTAATAAATTTGTAATATTATATTAAATTAACTCTATTACCTTTATCTTTCAGAACTGAAGAAGTCTTCCGAGATTTTTCTTTTCTAATTTCTGCAAGAGAGAACATGACAAGAGGTTACAAGGAATAATAGAGAAAAAAACTGCAAGTTTCTTCATGTGTTTTGTATACGTACAGAGGCTTAAAGATCACAGGACCTCTGAGTTGATATTCACAGTACAAATGTCTCTGGGTATATTTTGTCTATAAGACATTGAACTAAATATGTAAACGATAGAAAATAAGTGCATGAATTACTAAATTACTGTCACAAGTACAGACTATGCCAGATATATATAGTACACGTAAACTGACATGGGCTTTGGGGAAGAAATATGTGATAAGAACGATAGTTAACATTTTCTGCTTACTATATGTCAGGCAATGTTCTCTCATTTTGTGAGCAACATTTTCTCATTCAGTGCTCACAAGAACCCTATGAGGTATATAGGTTTTGTTATTATTTCTGCTTTTCACATAAATTGATTAAATAACTTTCCAAGATCTTTACATAGGAGACCTGGGATTTGAACCACTATATCTATGCTTTCAAGCATGTAAGTACTGGCTCCAGTCGTTGCATGATAGGCTCAGTAAAGGATGTAAGCATGTAGTACTGAGGCAGAACTAGAAGAGGGAAAGAAATTAGACCTGCAACAATGAAATGGAAAGAAAGACACATTTCAGAGAATCAGAGAGTGAATAGGAAGCTTAAACAGGGCAGATCTATCACTTTTGCTGTAGGCCATTTACAACCAACAGAACTGGAAGTGATACGCTGTGACTTCCAAGGCTAAATCAGAAAAGGTCATGCATTTTTTTACCTGTTAATCTAGTGACACTTGCTTTGGGAAATGCAGGTGCCAGGTGGTAATCTAACTAACACCACCATGTGAGAGAGGCTACACTAGGCAGTCCAACTCACAGCCCAAGCTGAGCTCCCAGCCAACAGCTAGTATCAACTGCCAGCCATCTGAGAGAGCCATTGTGCACATCCAGGAGTCAGCGATTTTACATGACTGCTGCCCAACCTGACATCTGAAGGCAATCACATGAGATAACCAGGTAAAAACTGCCTGCTTCATCCTCCTGAATTCCTGATGCACAAAATCATGAGCAAAATGAAATCAGCTGTTGTTTTACACCACTAAGTTTTGGTCTATATATAGAAATAGTTGTGAAAAGGTAGTTAACCAACAAACAGCAAAATATTCGACCCTGTGATAAGTACTCCAGTAAAGTCATATAGATAATAAAGAATTTATTGATTCAAATTTTAAAATTGGGAAAGGTTTTCACTGAGAATGTGCCATTTAGGTTTAGGCTTATAAATTGGGTAAAATGCCATTTTAATTGCATAACGGTAAGTAGATGTATTAGTTTAGTTTAGTTTTGTTTTTGACGGAATCTTGCTCTGTTGCCAGGCTGGAGTGCAATGGTGTGATCTCACCGCAACCTCCACCTCCCAGGTTTAAGTGATTCTCCTGCCTCAGCCTCCTGAGTAGCTGGGATTACAGGAACCCGCCATCACATCCAGCTAATATTTGTATTTTTAGTAGAGACAGATTTTTATTATGTTAGCCAGACGGGTCTCGAACTCCTGACCAAAAGTGATCTGCCCTCCTCGGCCTCCCAAAGTGCTGGGATTACAGGCATGAGCCACCACACTCAGCCATGTATCATGGTTTTTTGTTTGTTAGTTTGTTTTTGTTTTGTTTTGTTTTAGCTGAGAATGGTTCTTAGATTTTTTATTTGGTTTACAGTAGGATAATTTTCCCTCACCTGAGATATGAAATGTAAAAGGAGAGGTCTTTGGAGGAAGGTCTGTTTTGAATACATTGTGTTTCATATGTCAACAAGATACCCAAAAAGGAAATGTCCAGCAAGCAGTTGGAAAAAAACAGGTGAAGTGCAGATCATTTACAGGTGCTGCAGAAGCAAAGCAACCTACAGTATGGATTATAAATGAAAACTATCAATATAACTAGTGGCATTTTTTTTAAAGGCCCCAAATTAATCTTATTTACCTTATTCACAGAGATTGACTTGACTTATTAAGTAAACTAATTATATAAAGGCAAAATAAGCCAGAAAGAGAACAAATACTTTCTTAATAATATGTGACAGGTAAAAACACGCCCACACACAAAGACTGGTGTTCTCAGCTATTCTTTTTAGCAGCATGTTTCAAATCCAATCTCATATAATTTTTCTATATTGATATATCATTTATATATTGATAGTAATACCCTTAATTTTATAAATTTTGATGTGCTATTGCCAGACATTTAAAAATTTAAAATACAGATTATGATCAAAATAGCTATTAAAGTCAAACTTTAAATAATCTACGAGATAAAAACTATTCATTTTGAAAATAATATTCAATAGCAATGCATCCAGGAATCTTTTAATTTAAGTTATGGTACTGAATATATTTAACCAAAAATAAATAGTAAACATCTTTTACTTTTAATTGTACTGTACAATAGAAAAGGTATGTGTCTCAACAGTGTTTCCTTTTCCTTCTACAAGAATTTTTAGAAAAAGAAGATCATGAAAAAGATAAAACAAGATTGAAATAATGGAAAGTCTTATAGTAGATGATCTCAGACCTAGAGTTCTTTCCTGAAACAATCATAAACATTTTGAATCCAAACTACAAGGAAACTTGTCATCGAATCTTTACACAGTAACTTAATTATCATTATGAACATCTTTCAAGGTTAATCATTTTCCGGTTTGTAATCCCAGTCTGGCAAAGGCACCAAGTAAAATGAAATTGCCAATATTTGATAGTTTTCCTGGACAAAAAAGAAAATTGCACATATTTAAATCTAATGTTTACCTCACAATTTTACTTTTTTGTTATCTAAGAAATTTTGAGTGACTTTCCAAAGCTCAGTAATCTCACACACATGTATTACATACTTATGCCCATTTATTTTTTGTAATAACCTCTTATCATCTATTCATTTAAGATATAATACAATCTTTATTTCTATAACAATCTTATTCATTATATATATTCTATATTGTCTTTTGAACTTTTAAAAATGGAAATCCTCTCCTAAAACACATTTATGTGGGATTTCAAGAATCATTCTCATCACAGTGTAACTGTTCAAAATGAAATTTAATTTATAAGATGATATATATAGAAAAGTTGAAGAAATATAATTGAATATAAGAAAAAATGTTAACTGAATAATTATTAATATAATCAAAATAAAGAGGGATTTTAATGTATCTTTCTGCTACTCATGGTATGGAATTCCAAAATATACTTTAAAATTAACTTAGTGAACTGGACTAATTATTTGAGATTTCCATGCACTTAAAAACATTAATTAATAGATCTTAATTTTTAGAGCAGATTTATGATTACAGCAAAACTAATCAGAAAGTGAAGATTTCTTATACACTCTTTCTATAACAGACTAAATGTGTCCCTTCAGCATTCATATGCTGAAATCCCACTTCCAATGTGATGGTATTAGGAGGTGGCACCTCTGGGAAATAATTAGGTCATCAGCCTGGAACCCTCATTAATAAAATTAGTGGCCTTATAAAAATAAAAGGAACCCTGGAGAGCTCTCTTGCCCTCTTTCTGCATGTCAGGATACAAAAAGACAGCAGTCTGCAATCCAGAAGAGGGCTCTCACAGCACATAACCATTCTAGCAGCCTAATTTTAGACTTCCAGCTTCCAGATCTTGAGAAATAAATTTTTGTTGTTTATAAGCCACCAAATCTATGGCACTTCGTTATATCAGCGCAAATAATACACCCTCTTCCAGTACACTCAGGCTCCCTCACCATCAGCATCGTTCAAGAGTGTGGTACATTTATTATAGTCCTAGAAACAATATTGATACATCATTATCAACCAAAGTCCACAGTTTACATTAGAGTTCACTTAGTTTTATACATCTTATAGATTTCAACAAAAATATAATGACATGTATCTGCCATTGCAGTATCATTCAGAATAATTTCATTACCCTAAAAATTCTCTGCGCTCCACCTAGTCAACCTTCTCCTCTCCCCAAACCCTAGTAACCACTGCTTTTAATTTTCTCCATAGTTTTGTCTTTTCCAGAATGTCATATAGTTGGAATTGTACAATATGTTGACTTTTCAGATTGGCATATTTCACATAGAAATAAAATTTAAGATTCTTCAACTTATTTTTGTGGCTTGATAGCTCATACATTTTTCAAACTGAATAAAAATTTTATTATTCACCTATTAAAGGACATCTTGGTTACTTCCTAGTTTTAGGAAATATAAATAAAGCTGATATGAACAGTCATGTGCAGGTTTTGCATAGACATAAGTTTTTTGCCTTTTCATATAAACCTTAGAATTAGTTTGTCAATAGCCACAGATAACTTGCTAGAATTTTTCTGGAATTGTGTTGAATCTGTACCTCAATTTAGGAAGAACTGACATTTTGACAATACTGAGTCATCTTATCAATGAATATGGAGTATCTCTCAATTTATTTAGTTTCTGTTTATTTCTTTTATGTAGTTTTCCTCCCACAGATCTTACATATAATTTTAAAAATATACCCAAGTATTTATGTTTTGGGTGCTAAAACAAGTGGTCATTGTGTTTTTAATCTTGTTTATTCAATTTTTTCATTACTGATATAGGAGAGTAATTGACTTTCGCATATTAAATTTGTGTCCTGAAACCTTGTTATATTTTCTGATTAGTTCCAGGAAGTTTTTGGAATTTTCTACATAAACAAGTATGTAATTTTTGAACAAGACAGTTTTTTTTCTTCCCAACTTGTATACCATCTATTTCCTTTTCTTATATTATTTCACTCACTAAAACTTTCAGTATAATGTTGATAAAGTATGACTGGAGCAAACGTCCTTGCCACGTTCTTGACCTTAGCAAGAGAACTTTTAATTTCTCATCATTAAATAGAACGTTAGCTACAGGATTTTTGTAGAAATTATTTATCAAGTTTAAGAATTTTCTGTCTATTCCTAGTTTGCTAAGAGTTTTTAACCATCAATGGGTGCTGGATTTTGCCA